AATTCAGCTTCGTGGGAGGAGCTGGGTGGAAGTGACTTCTCCACACCAAATCGAATTATTTTAGGGAGAATCATACACATTTCAAATAAAAAAGATTAATTTTGACTAAAAAACATTAATTATTCACATGTCTTATTCACTCGTAAATGCAAAAATTTGACATGTCAATATTTTTGTATTTACAAGGGAAAATAATATATCAATTACTGAGCACTAAAAACAAAGTAAATTAATTAAAATCGAGGCAAATTTTTGGCCAACTATAAATATTAAAATTTTATGAAAAATAATTTTAAATATTTATTAGATTAAAATAAACATAATACTTACTAAAATTATTACTAAAGAAATAGTATATTTTTTCTGGGTTGGGGGCAACATGAATTAGAGGAGGCATTGTGTGTAATTTTTCTTCTTAAAATGGATTCTATAAGTAATATTAACTTTGTTTTAGGGGGCACTTGCCCCCTTCTCATATATCTAGGCCGTCCATGTCCTAGATGGAATGAAATTTTATATTCTCTCCGTTAAAAAATATAAGATATTTTTTGAAGAGTCTAATGTTTAAAAATGTAAGATATTTTTAGTTATTCGAGGTGTAATTATTGTCTTTTTGAACAAAATGCCCCTATTGACCGATGACTTCATATTTATTATAGGGTGTTTAATAGGGGTAAATATGAAAAGATATGATTAGTTTAAAAATAAGTAACTACTTTATTGGGGTGAAATTTGATTAAAAATATTTTATATTTTGGAACAGAGAGAGTATGTAACTAAGAATAAGAAAATAATTTATTTTTTAATTTAGGACATGTTTATAATTCTCCCGAAATTTTAATAAGACTATGAAAGTAACTAACTTTGTATTGTGATTGTGCTGCTACTCTTTTTTTTTTGTTTTTTTTTTTGTGTTCTGTTCTGCTACTCATTTTAATACTATATCAACAATTTATATTTCTATTAAAAAATGGCATTGTGGATTATATATTGGATTGAACTTGATGCTTTCAGATTAAATGCTGATTTGCATCATAAAATTTGATCCAAATGATTGGTTCGATTCTACATAGAGAACCCAACGGATCATAAAAAATAAAAAAAAAGATTCTGTGAATAATTTGAAAAGGAATTATGATAAGAATGGAATCTGTAATGGCCATATCGCTCTATGACCTGGCCACAATTGTATATATCGTTCTATGTCCATTAATGAAGCGCTGATTTTTTTGCTGGTTTTGTGCGGGTCCATGCATGAAAGGCTCACATTTTCATATATGCTTAATAATTTAATTCACTTTTTTCTTTTGCTATTTCTGTGGATGAAATGACGTTTTTGCATGGGGCTTTCACGTAACCTGATTGTGAGATTTGACGCGTCCAAGTTTCCAGATGCTTCATCACCAATAATCAATCATCAATTATTATTCAATATATTGTTAGGGGTGGCACAAGCAGCTGAAGCCAGCTCGATCCATGAGCAAGTTGATAAACTTGGTATCACATGTACGATAAAGATAACAGAAGAATTAATTAAAATTTTTCAATAACATAATTAGTTTGTTTAATGTTGCAAAAATGCTCACAATTGATAGGACTATAACACCCAAGAAGATGCATTTGCTGTACGTTGACCAAAATCAGTCCCTGACTCATTCTTTTCATAATAATCATTATGCTCGAGGATGAATCGTGAATTTTTCTTTTTATAGTTGTACGTTGTTTAATGTTATTGAGTTAAACTAAGTGTTATCAAGTTTAATTGAAACTTGAAGGTAATTTTTTCGCATATTTTTTTCATTTTAAAAAATTTAAATTAATTTAAGGTAACTTTGTACTCCTTTCGATTTCAAATATTAAAAAAAAATCAATTCATACAATTTAAAATTGAGGCTTTTGCAGATAACATTAATATTATAGGATCAAACAAAATAAATAGCCTAATATTTATTATATGTTACATTATGACCTATTTATTATATTCATCAATGATATAATATTATATATCAATGATAAATTTTTAAATTTTTAATAATAAATTCCTTATATATCAATGATGAACTCCTTATATATTAATGTAAATCAATCATATTCCTAAATTTTTAAAAAATTGGTTCATATTTTTTAGACATAAGATTTTTTTTTTGGACTAGTTAGCCAATTTGTCCTTTAAAAAATATTGATTTTATGAAAGATAATCTGAAAAAAAAAATAATGAATACTTGTTGAAATTTATAGTTATATTTATAAATAAAAGAAAATAAATACGTGATAGTTTTTATTATTTTTGGAAATGGAAGGGGTATATGCTAACCGCCTAATGTTTTGAAACTTGTTTATTAATGTAAATTTTCTTGACTCATTTTACTTACGATAAGAGGTTTCGTTGTTATTATTGTTGCATATTTTCTTGCCTTAACCCATATTAAAATTTTCATGATATGTTACGGTTAAATAATGAACTCATGGAATGAAATCAGCTTAATGACGTCACGAACTCGGTCTTCATTTGGGTCAACCATTACATCACCACGTAGAGGTGTTCCAAATATTGACTGAGTTTTTGACAAATTGATAGGAGATTTTCCTCTTCGAGTGCAATGAAATTGAACTCTTATTTGCACCGGCATGAGGCATGGTCGTTCATGTTCCATTTTTATTTATTTTACAGTTATTTGACACTCCGTACTATCTATCTAGGCTTAGGCATTATCAATTGATGATAGCTTTCCCGACATATTTTTTTTTTCCTCTTTTATTTAGAAGCTTTGAATTCTAGATATTATTGAAATAGAATCAAGTCATTTACACCCTATATATATATATATATATAAAAGAAATTCTCAGATAGATCCGATACATTACGTCATCTATGATCCATCTAATAAAATTGTACAAATTTAATTAAATAAAATCTTATATGTTTTTATTTTTATGAATTTTTTATAATAAAATGCTTATTTATTTTTTTATCTTTTAACCATCTATTAATACTGCTCTTGTGGGCTGTACTAAAACAATGCTCTACCCCTCGATATCCAGTCAATTGATGCACCTCAATGCATTTCAGGGAAAACCATCTAGTGCTGGGTTCGAGTGATATTTTACCCCTAACCATAACTCATATGCTGATTCTTCAATATTAGTCGGTTCGGGTCTCCACTTAGTTTCACTCAAGCTTCACCTTGATCATGGATAGATCACTCAAGTTCGGGTCCATAAACAATGACAGTTGCCCTATGAAAACTCGCTTTTGCTACAGCTCTGATGGGTTCCTGAACCAAGCCACTACCTATGAGTTGTTGGCTCATTTTTCAATTTATATTTAATATTATTTGAGTGTCATGTTTTTATTGGATAGACTATGAATAACATTGTTCACTAGGTTTATCTAAACATTTCTTCTACTTATATATATTTTTATTCGTAAGGTTTTAAATCCACTCTCTAACTAATATTTAACATGATAAAAGTAAAAAAAAAAGAACATGAATAAATATAACTGAAAGGACTAATATATACTCATTTTAAAAAGTAATACATAAAACATTAAAAGAAAATAGGAATTAGAGTTTATAAACAATTTTGACATTGCTCAATCATTCCCATGGGAAATAGTACTTCTTATTCATAGGCTATGCCAAAGAATGGGCCAAAACCTTTTTAGGAAACGGGATATCATATATTTTCTCTAATTTTTATCATAGGGTGCATTCTGAAAATATTTTTCGATCATTGATATAAGATATTTGATAGAATATTAATTATATTTTTTAATAATTCCCAATTTTAAACTCTTTAACTATAAAAAAGAATGTAATGTAAATTTTAAAAAAATTTATTTAAATATAGATAAAATTAAGAGTTTATTATATTTTTAAATAAGATTAATAGCTTAATCATATTTTTTTAGTTTTAATAAAGTAGCTAGATTTACCTTATAATAGGGATCGAGGAGTACATCTCAAGCGAACCATTAGAGGTATACTCTGTTCAATTTTATTTATAAGTTACTTCTAACTATCTTACCAAAATCAATGAGAGATAATTAAATTTTTCATTTGATCTATTTTTCAATCTATCCTTCTTAAATGCATCATATTTAAAAATACTTTCCCTCTCATGTAATTTTTTACACTCTTTATTCATCAAAAATTATGAAAGGGCAAAATAAATAACCCACCTTTCCATATAAAATGACTAAAAAATTATTATTATTATTATTATTTGGAAAGTGACCGGAGAAGTTCATCTTTGGCATGCTTTTTTCTTTTCCCTTCCTTCCCACTCCAGCAAACATACCATAACGTCAGATTATTTCTCGCGAGTATCATCACTTATCAAACTTTTGGCCCAAAAAAAAAAATGGTGCTCAACATCCACACCATAATCGTCATTCTACCCGAAGGTTCCGTTTTTGATTCCGTAATTGAAACGAGAAAACTCTGCAAATTTCTTCGACTAGAGATTATTCCCGTGCCTAAGAATGAAAACATCGAAAAACAACTTACTTTTAGCTTGAGTGGGATATTTACCCACTCGAGCGTCAAAATTCTAAACACAATTTATTGCAGCTAGTGGATGTTTAGAGATTGTGACGTATAAAAATGGAATTCTGATTCATTAGTCGCTCCAAAGACTCCATAATCAAAGACCACTTAATTGCTCACATTAGTTACGTCACGTAGCTTCAAACTCATTATTAGATTAAATTGAGAATGAAGAGGAAGTATAGAGGCACGAGTCGTACAAGTTAAGCAAATTAGAGTTTAGTTGGATGCAAGTTCCATGCTTTAAGCAATACCTCGAAGACCATCTTTGTTCTCAATTCCTACTTAACAAAGCGAACAATGAATGCGCACGCAAAACTTTAATTGATTTATGGGTATTTACAATTTTACATACAATCCACATTATTAATTTGACAGGTTCTTCTGCTTCTGCATTGTCTATAAATCACGTTTAGAAGTAATAAAAGAAAAAAAATATATCAAAAGAGCTCAGCAAAATAAATGCCTCATAATTTACACCTGGCGTGATAAACTTTATTATCACACTTCTGATAAACTTTATTACCAGACACAACAGGGATCAGCTAGCAAATTAATGAACCAGAGATAAAGGACTCTGCTAGGAAGAATTTGTACCAGCGACAATTAGTTTCTCGTACGGGGCGGATTCAGGGTCTTGAGCAATTCACATCAAATGGTAGAATCCAATAGATGATGCATTTATATCTAAGGGATAAACAGAGCGGTTCACTCGGAGTCATATGGGCGTAACAGCTAATGCACTTCCAATTGGCACCCACGTAGCTTAGAATGAGAGCTACATGACCTCGTATTTTCAAGCCAGAGCACTCTCTTTAACAATGGCTGAATCTCTGTCTAGGTTTGCCGCTGTTACAATCAGCAAATGGAATCATTAGTTTTTTGTTTTCATATCGCTGATGAAAATGCTTATCCAAGACTCTTTTAAGTTTTATTGTCAACTTTTGACATCAACAGAAGGAGCTGCCTGCAAGGTATAAGTTAATGCAAAATCATAATAAAAGATTTGGGGGGGGGGTGTTGACTAGATTTTCAACTTTACCCCTCTTCTTGATCTTGTTACGGAAACTTCTTTTTCTACTAAATGCTCTCTCCTGCAGAATTAGAAATAAATAAATCATTTATCAAAATAAAGAAATAAATGAATCAGGTCACAGATCAAGAACTCCGTTTTATGGATTAAAATATTATTTGGTTAGATCACTTCGCATGATGTGCCTGCACCAGACTCTGATAGCTCTTGAGGACTCGATGTCACTATTTAGAAGGCACCCAAAAAAATGGCATACGGGGATTTCTTTTTTTTTTTTTGGGCCCGGGGGGGGGGGTTTGTTTAGAGGATTCATACATAATAATATACTAATTAAAGTTCAAATTTTACCACTGGTCGACCAAGTTCCCCTGCTCGGCGAACCGCATCAACAAGCTCCCTGTTAGATTCAGTGTACATGCTAGTCACAAGTCCAAATTGACCAGCTCGACCAGTTCTGCCAATCCTATGCAAAAAGTCTACAGCAGAACTAGCAAAATCTGCCTGAAATTGATCCACAACAAGGTTGAATGCCCATAATTAAAAAAATATCACAAAATGATTTGTGCAAAGTAGTAGCTCAATGAAGCATGTACTTTGACATGAATGGCAAAACAAAATTGGGTGGCAAGCAGCATGTTCATCCTGAAATTTAAACTTCCCTAATAATGAGCTCCTTTCACGTGTAACACAACACGTGTTATTTTATATCATAAGCAGTACTTAAAATGTACCATGTCATCAGTATGGAAGCTAGTCAGATGTGTGTCATCAGCATATTGTGGGAGCGTCAAAATCCAAATTGTGCTCCATAAGGCATGACAGCGCTCTTTTTAAAGAATTTGACCAACTTTTCTAACAATCAGGTGCATCAATAGTTTAATTTGAAAGACAGCAATTCATATGAACATTGCAAGAACTGCACCAGAAAAATGGGTGATATCGTACATTGTGGCACAGAAATTTCAAGAGCTAATATGTGACCATGGCAGCAAATATTGGAAGTTCTAAAATCTGATGTTTGAGGATAATTTTCCTTCTACCCTTTGGCTTTCTGGCAAGTTCAAATTGAGCACACTTATAATGTAAATTTAACATCAGGATGGACACGATGAAGAAAACAATCTTTGTGAATATAGAAACTGATGCTTATCAACACAAATTACCACCACATGAGGAAAAAGTTGTATTGATTGATTATGAACCTTCAACAAAAGTTTTCAGCCATTTTTACGATCATTGCCGTTCCACTGTTCTGCACATGGTGAGAGTTCAACCCTTTCATCTACTCAACATACCATATCTTTCCCTACTTTGGTTTGCTCTGAAACCTAGTCTTACAGACTCTTGATATGGAAAAAATAAAACTATCGATTGAATCAAAATGCTAAATTGCTGCAGTAAAAGGAAAAGCACCTGGATAACATGTGAGACGTTTGGAATGTCAACACCACGAGCAGCTGCATCAGTACATACAAGAACACCACCTTTCTCTCGGAATTCAACTAAGGCCTTAGCTCGCTCATCCAAGGTGCGATCCTTATGATAGCGTAAACATTCAATCCCAGATCTGACCAATATCTTTGCCACTGCTTCAACAGCCTCAACAGTGTTGGCAAACACCATTGTTCGAGAAATGCCCCCAAAACCATCCAAATCTTGACTGAAACCTTGTCTCACAGCTTTTATGAGTTCATCCACCTGTGTATCAACAGTAACTTCAACCCACCTCTGCTCCAATCTGAAATGGAAAAGAAATACAGATATAATAAGTCAGAAATGAATAATCAATCATATTATTTGCCAGTGTGCCCAGGATGCCTTGGATTTAACAAAATTTGACAAGTCAAAAAGTGACAGATTTATGCATGCTTTTCACTTGGCTTTACAAAAAAGGCAGAACATTACGCACTAATATCTTTATTAAGTCAAATTATGTCCTTGCCCTATCATGGCAGATATTATAGGACTTGAGATCTTCCTCTTAATCATTCCTCTTCATCTTGTTGTCATTGACAAAAAAATGCATCAACTTCAAGCAACAGAACCACTTACATTTGCAGCTCTTAATAGATTCAAGCTGTTTGATCAAAACAGCAGTTATGCAGCAAGGAATAAAAATGAGACACCACTATAAAGTGAAGAAAATGAACTACCTTGGATTGTGACAATGAAGATAATTTCCACTAACCCACTCAGCATCAGGAAACATGTGTTTTAATATTGCTCCAGCTGTTTTCTTCCCATTCACAGGAAGTGTGGCGGCAACAAAAAGGTACTGCTTACTATGCTCATAATTTTTCCTCACTCTCCTCCAGTCTCTTCTCTTGATTGAACCAGCTTTGTTATTGGTGTCGACCATATGGGTATCAATATCAACATTCCCATCTTCTGAGATGGTGTCTTCAGTAGGCTGTTTCTGTTCACCGTATATGGCACTGTCACTGTGTGATGACAAGGTAGATTCTAGCTCCAATGGCAACCCTGATACTGGTTCTTTCAATTGGGATAAGAGCTTTTCATCAAAGCGAAGCAGGTTTATCAGACGAATCACTTTATTTTGGAAACTCCCACAGAGAAGCATATCAGCTTCATCAAAGACCTGCCAATTACCAAGAACAAGCATATAAATAAAGACATTTGCAGTTTAATTGAAAAAATCTGGATATATACATACGTATATATATATATATATTAAATAAGAACATAATACAAGAAAGATACCACATATTTAACACTGCGCATAAATTCCATTCGGCGGTTTCTGTTTTGTTCAACATAGTTTAGAAGAGCAACGGGTGTTGTCACAATTATATCTGGTTCATGAATAGGCCATCCCTGGATTAAAGAAAAACTGCTTGATCAAGTAAATCAGACTTTGAATTTTACAAGAAAGCTAAGACTTAGCATGAAAACAACCTTGCTGGTAGAGATAATGTAGCAAGCCAAAATAACCTAAGGTGAATTGCACAAAAATCACTACCTGTCTTCCACAAATGGCTGCCACACTAACCATCGGCGTACCATCGTCCCCACAAATACTGTTAGCCATTTGAGCTACTTGTTCACAGAGTTGTACATTTGGACACAGAACTAGCAGAATCTTACAGAGAGGCTCTTTTTGATAACTGACAGCATTGGCAGAATTGTAGTGTGAACCTCGTAGCTTATCAATTAGAGGAACTAGATAACTGTGTGTTTTACCACTACCAGTCTCCGCTGCAATAACCACGTCCTTTCCAGAAAGCACAGACGGTATAGAAGAAGCCTGAATTACAGAGAAAACAATCACAGAGTCTTAAGAAGTGTTCTCATCACGAGCCGTATTACCTTTTTTATTTATTTTTTTTTTTTGGGAAAATCAGATATTTGCTTTCTATTCATGATGTAGTTTGCTTATCAGTACTGAAGCATGTAGCTACTTAATTCTACTCAGGGACACTGACTAAATTCGACAGTACCTATGGCAATCACAAGCGTAACAGAGACACAAAACACCAATTTTGAAATACAGGGTATTCAAGATCTTAGCGATCACAGAGGTGGCACGCGTTGAGGAGAATCAGAACAAGGCGATGCGGAAACAAGTGCAAATGAGGAGAAAAAGATGAAGGGGACCTGGACCAGAGATGGCCTATCGAGGCCAATACTAGAGAGAGCTCGGGAAATGGCATCAGACAGACGAAGTGAATTCCACGAAACATCTTCTTCCGCCAAGAATGTGTCTATCCTTTTTGTATTTGCGGCCGCCACGATGGCACTCCCGAACGCCTTGAACAGCCGTTGGCGAGGACGAGAAAGCGAAATGAAGGGAACATTAACCAAAGAAGGCGAAGAAGTGAAGCGGAAGAAGTATGTGTGCTTGAAATGGGAGAAGACATGGGATCGAATTGATGGTATTTGGAGATGTAACATCAAAGCGGAACGGTAAATAATCATCGGCTTCTTCTTCAGAGGTTGGTTGAAACTAGAAATGATAGTCTACAGTTCTTCACTCAGCTTCTAGCATGAAGTGATGCGGACAAGGGCTTAGGGTTTAGAGAGCCGTACCGTCAACGACATGCTACGAGGAATGAGGGCAGGGTTTCATTTTTTGGCCATCCTAAATTCGTAGCAACGTGCATAAGTATTCAGGGAGAATTCCAGCATTGCACAAAGGATATAACATAATAATAAATAAAACCTATTAAAATTTAAAGGTGTATTTAGTTAAAAAATTTTGGAGGAAAGTGAAAGAGAAGAGAGTTGCTCTTTTTTCCTCGTTTGGTTAGTGAATAATAAGAAAAAGGAGAAGAACCTCGTACTTGGTTAATTTAGGGTTTTTGGGAGGGGAGAGGAAAGAAAAAATAATTAAAATAAATTTAAATATTTTAAAAATCTTAAATTACTTTTAATATCAAAAGATTATGTACTATTTTTCTCTTTCTCTTTCTTATAATAAAATAAATTTTATCAATTTACAAAAATTAATATATAATTTTAATGTATAAAATTTTAATATTTTTTTATTAAACTTATTGATAAAATATAATTTGTTCTTCAAATTTTTTTATCAATATAAGTTCATATTTTTAAAACAACAACTTAATAAATTCTAATATAATAGTTTTTACCAAAGCAAAAAAATAAAATCAAATCAAATTTGATAAAAATAAAATTATTAATTTATTTTTTAATTCCCTCCCCTCCCCTTTCTTCCTAAAACTTTATTTGATTCGAAGAGAGGGGAGAGGAGGGGAGAGGGAATCCCTCCAATTTAGAGGAGAGGCTCCTCTCCTCTCCCTCCAATCAAACAAATTCTAAATTAAATAAGGTTATTAAAATTTCTTCCCTTTTCTTCATTAAAATTTTTCCTCTTTTCTCTTCTCAAATCAAATACACCTTAAAATTTTAATTCAAATTAAAATGAAATTAATTTAAATAATGGAAAATTGAAATAGTCTTCATTTAAACATTAAAAAAATAGTGTTTTTATTTGTATGTAATATTAGATAATTAATAATTAGAATTGAGAAATTAACAACTAAAGTTACTTCATAAATTAGAATAGATTAACTGAACAAGCCTTCTTGTTTTCTCAAAGACTAATAAATCAAATAAAGTAATTTATAAGTAATATTAAGAAATTAATAAGTAAAGTTGAGAAATTAACAATTACATGTTACATCATAAGTCTAAATAAATTTATTAAACAAATTAATAATTGTCAAGTTAAATAAAGTAATTTATAAGTGATATTAAAAAATTAACAAATAAAGTTGAAAAATTAACAACTCTTGATCCATAAGTCCAGATAAACTAATTTAACAAGTAACTTAAGAAAAAATTTCAGCTATTAATTTCTCAATGTGTTAATTTCCCAACATTACATTTAAATTTGACTATTGTTTTTTTAGTGTTTAAATAGATAATATTCTGATCCTTTCATCATTTAAACTAATTTCATTTCATTCTTTCTATGTTGTATTGAACTAAAATTTTAAATTTAATGGATCTTATTTACTATTATGTCACATCCCTGATCCTTTGGTGAAATTCTCCATAATATTTATTTACTTATTATTTATTTTTGACAAGCACATCACCTATATAATGATTTTGTTTGATGTTTGATTTCAATAAATCTTTTTTTAATATATTTTTAAACTTAACACAACTAACCCCAACTACCTAATTAACAATGCCATTACTTGAAACACAAACTTTTATCATCAAGTTTGGTTGATTTCAATAAATCTTTTAAGTAAGATAGCTGAAGAGTAGACGCTCTCTTAATAAAATACCCCCTCATGTTCAATGTATTAGTATTTATTTATTTAATTTTGACAAGCACATCCCCTTTATAGTGTTTTTGTTTGATGTTTGATTTGAATTAATCTTTTGATTTAAGATAGTTATAAAGTAGATGTACTCTTAATGAAATGCTCCCTTTGTATTTATTTATTTAGTTTTGACAAGCACACCACGTTTATGATGATTTTGTTTGATGTTTGATCTCAATAAATCTTTCAAGTCAAGTAATATAAGTAAGGAGTAAATGTTTGATAAGATACACCTTCCTCCAATTAATGAGTTTGATCTAGTAGAGGGGGTTAATATCTCTTAATGCTGTGAATTAAAGTTCAAATTCTTTCTAGAAGAGGTACTTACATTTAACTCAAAAAAAAAAAAGATAACCCTCTCCCTAATTATATAAGGTAAAGTTAACTAATTTTACCAATATTAAAAAAATGATAATTGATATTCTTAAATTTGTAAAAAAGTTTGATTTTTCAGTTTTATCTTGCATTAAAATCAATAGCTATAATAAAACATGTGCATTAATTATAACTTAGTTTAGCAAAAGAGTCTAGTTCCTCATAATGTTACAAATTAAGGTTCAAATTCTTATTGAAAGATGTACCTACATTTAATGTCTGACTCTATCTTGAATAGGATTCCTTTCAATAATAAGATATATAACACCCCTATCGTTTAGAACATGATGTAACATGGAGTTAAGGGACTATTATTCGAATTTCTAGTATTTGTTGGGCAATTTTTGGTGCTGCTATCAATGTCCAATCACGAAGAAGAATTTCAAAGGGGTTGACCACACATGGACGCTAGTCTTACATTGACCAATCAAAATGCAAAGATTAACTGTGCACTAACAAATTTTGTGAAGGCATGACTGCTTGCGAATAAAAGGCAAACAAGCAAAATCCCCCCACAACATTTACTTGCACACAAACATAATTATAATGGCATGACCACTTGTGGAGGGCCACACTAACTTAGATTATAAATGGGTTGTTTAGTTGCAGAGATGGGGAGAGAGAGAGAGAGAGAAATAGTGCTAGAGGATTTAAGGCCTTGGAGCATGATTTGAGACTCCCCAAACTTCTAGTAAGTAATTTCTAACTTTTATCTACCTTCCTCTTAATCTTTAATTAGTAGAAATTTGCGATTTATTGGAGTTATTTTGGGTGACAACTTTAGGTCCAATTTTAAGTTGATTAAAGACATTTTCTAGCTTCAAGAAGTGAGCTTAATCTTTCTCTAACCTCATTTAAGTTTTTAATTGGTGGATTTTGAATATATTGGTTATTTGAAGAAAACCTAGATTGTTAGAAGTTGAAATTCAAATTTTCAAGGAATTGATGGTTGAAAAACGTGATTATTGCATTAAGATGACTTAGTTATACTTGTTGAAATATGAATTGTGATTGAATTTTGGATTTTTGAAGTATTTATTCTACATTTTCTTGGCATTTTTAGGTTGGCTAATCAAGTGGTGGTTTGGTCTAAGATTTTATTCAATTAGAAACCTTAGATGATAAGGTTGCTGTGTCTAAAATTTCATTGAATTTAGAAATGATTTGGCTTATCATTTCAAACTTGAGATTGAAACTGAAAAGGGCCTATTCGGATTTGAATTGTTTTATGGAAATTGGTGTAAGAATTAATTCTTGGATTTGATAGGATAAATTTGATAGTTGAGATACTTAAGGGGACATTTTTAGGATGTTGATATGCATGTATTCTGGCTATTTTGGGCCTTGTAGGCATTGTTATGGATATCAAAGTATCTAGGTTATTACCTATAGATCATGATATGGAGGTTGTTTGGCTTTTTAAAGTGGTTTTGGTTGGCCATATTGCCATTCTAACTTGAAGGGTTGAGGTAATTAAGATTTAATTCTTGTTATAACATGCGCATGTAGTAGTTAGTTTTCGCATAAATGAATTTTTAGTAATATTATTTTATTATTTTAACTCCTAACTTGATGATGAATTGTAAATGTAGATTTTATACTATTGCATGAGATTTATGTTTTACAGTTATGTCTTACAAATCAATATGTGTAAGGTCTGCCTTAGTAATCTCTAATTAACCCCACATTCAAAGTAATCATGCAATTATCCTTAATATGATTAGCAAATTTGTAAAATTACACATTAGGATCTTAAGTTTTCAAAATCAAAATATTGTAATAGCCCTTTACAATTCAAAATCAAAGTTATTAGATATATGCGAAAGTATGGGATCTTTCACAATTTAAAGCATTTGCATAAAATATGGACACAATAAGAACTATGCAGAAAAATGTGTGTTGTTACTTATTGTGCATGTGCCGCAACATATATGTCTTTGTGCCATGCATCATGGTGTAAGCACCATGTGCCGTGAAGCAATACACAATTTTAACAGCAATGTTGCTGTTATATGATAACAATTAGGGCAAAATTTCAATGAGCCTTATTTCTCCATCCGACATCCGATTAAGGTGATATAAGTGTTTATAGAGAGTTTTCTCCTAACTCTTACTAATGGCACTTATTTCATAATCATAGCATTTTCTAATCAAAATTTAGACACCCATTTCAAAAACTCACTCTTTTTCATTCTTATTACAGAACTTGGGTTCCTAATTCACATTTCTAGTGCCAAAAACCAAATTCACACCCTAAGTCATATTCAAAAGATTAAAATAGACCTATATAATATACCACATCTCACAAATATCAAATGTAATACATTTTTAATGCTCAACCCCTTAATTTTAAAAATAAAAGGGAGAGCTTCAATCACATAATCATCAATTAATCATCATCAATCACATGTCATGCCTATCCCTTACTTGCACTAATATTTTGGCCCAACTATAGATCTCACATATCATTACATATATACCCTAAGACCAAAATATACAATATAATTCAGCAATCTCCTAGTGCAAGTAGGCCCAAACATGAACAATTCTAGCTGGCAATATAATGCAAGATTATACACATTAATAATCAAAAAGAAAATGAGGCCTACAGATAAGATAGTAATCCTATGCCTTAAATTGTTTCCCTTTGTCTTGTCCCGTTGAGCTAACTCCTGTAATATTGAATAGAAAAGAGTAAGTACAATCACTCAATAACTAAGATTCCTATAACTTATATTAATGCATGTCAATCGATTTAAATGCAAGTGGCAAAACGTTGCCATACTCAAGCCAAAATAATATATTTCAAGCAAATAATTTCATTTTTCATTATCAATGATATAAATTCATGAAATAATAACATGATGATCAATGTTCATAATAACACAAGTTTAATTTCATTATTTT